CATTACATTACAGCTAATAAAGAGTTTGTGTTACAGCAAAATATACGAGTGTCGGGGTTAATAATGCCATATCAGGATTCACCGACAAAAGTTTAAACTTTTGGTCNTTTCTGACCAATTTGGTCAATTTTTGCTAAATACTTGTCGTGGACGTTCAACTGGCTTGAGAAGTATTTAATCAACCGTCGACACTGACCATGCACGTCTCAGCTGAGCCACACCTAGCTGGGACTGCTGCGGAAACAAGGTCCCAAGGCAAAACCTCTACTTTTTAGTGACATTTCTGATAAAAAAGGAGCGTGGGACCGGAAAATAGTCAAACTAATTTTTCACAAGTGCAAAGGAGAAAGATATTTACTTTTTGGTGATATTTCTGACAACGAGGCAGTTTCGGACTATATTCAAAATCGACGGCTGTTTATTACAAGTTCACGGGAGTTATTATTCTAGTTTTTTATTGTCATTTCTTAAAACGAGGCGGTTACGGGATGTAGTCAAAATCAAACGGATATTTATTTCAAGTCCACAGGAGAAATAATTCTACGTTTTTTTGGTGACATCTTTTTTACTACGAGGCGGTTTCGGAATATACATGTGCTGGTTTTCAGCTGAGCATTCATGTGCTACAAGTAATTACAAGTTCAAAGGGGGAATGCATTTGATTTTAACCGATATATCTGATTAAAAGGAAGAATGAACAGCTTAAAACCAAAAGGTAAATAACACAACCCTCGTTAAAAATGTCGAGTGAAGCGAGACATTTTTGGGTGGCGGCTAGAGGTTGCCCTCGATCTTCACTGAAGCTTGCCTAAATGGACAGGCTTCAGTGATCATCATATCGCCACGGTCACATAACATCCCTAGGTATGTATTTGGAGGTAAGAGAGGAGAGGTAATTGGAATCTGTTAAGGCGCTATTTGAGCGCTACATTTGCTATATAATTATATAAATAACACTTCATTAAAGGATCTTGTCTGTTCCTGAAATAGAAAATTGGTGATATCGGTAACTATGACTACTGTATTAGTAGTACAATATGATTCTTAAGTAGTTCGACTTCTTTTGTGATCTCAAGCACATCTTTAACCCCATTTCCAGAGATTAGATCGATCTACTTAAGATCGACCTAACTCCCTGGGGGTTCACGCTAAATAGCTGTCAACCGAGCGGACACGAAAGTTAATTACCCCCTTACAGCTTGTAGTAGGCGGGACGGACATTTAAGCTGGATTATCTGACATTAATCTAGTGAGACTCCCCGCGGGGATAGATCGATCTAAAAGCTCTGGGAATACAGCCTTATTGTGTGCCTAACCCCGACGCTTACTCATTACATTACAGCTAATAAAGAGTTTGTGTTACAGCAAAATATACGAGTGTCGGGGTTAATAATGCCATATCAGGATTCACCGACAAAAGTTTAAACTTTTGGTCGTTAGGTCGATCTAGATTTCTAGTTTCACTAGATTGTTGTCAGCCTGACCGGCTGAAATGTCTGTCCCGCTTACTAAAAGCTGTGAGGGGGGTTATTAACTTTGGTGCACACTCGGCTCTCGTAACCTGACAGCAATTTAGCGTGAACCCCCAAGGAGTTAGGTCGATCCGTATAGATCGATCTAAATCTATGGGAATGCACCTACGGATCATTAAGGACAAGAAGATCCATGTACCTAGATACACGGACATATGATAATCACATACCACGTAGGCGAGACACCTACATTCCTATTACTCACTAGTGAACAATAGTGATAATCAAGAAAAAACCCCGTTAAACTAGAGGATCAGAGAGGCGATACCGCCTCCATATATTGTACCACCAGCTGGAGTAAACTACCACCACCTCTACCAGTGCTGTGCTTGACAAACTCTACAAACTGCAATGAACCAGTTCTCAAAATTTGCCAAAAGAATTAAAAAACTGCATGACCTTTGTAGAAATGGTTTGATCAAGGCCATTTTCATACTCAACCTGTATATTCATAACATTAATTACTCCTGTGATTTTCAAGACAATGGGCCTATTGGTTTTCCTTGAAATGTGTTATCAGTGTTGGACATATGCTAAAAAAGGGGATAAACAGCGTAACTTTTGAAAAAACGGCCTGATCATGCTCATTTTTAAACTGTTTTTTGAAAATAAACATCAGTTCCATAAGATTGAAGACAGAAGACAAAACCGTTTTCCACTTAATGTGTTATCACTGAAAGTGCATGGCGATGGTAGAAGGCAACGATGATGACAGAGGCAGGTGACAGCTATATGTACAGACATCTGTGTGGGTACATAAATTTTGACAAAGGTGCATTTCAGCGAACGTCCGGGGTACACGTTGGTGGTACTTATTATGTGCATATCTTTGCCAGTTTTGAAAGTATAAGCACTGCAAAAGTTGCAAAGTTCAGTTCATGGTGAAAAGTAGTTCAAAGGTCAATTTTTAGGTCACACTTAGATTGCCAGTATATGACTTCCTTTTCAAGTTCAATAGTAACTATGGATCTATCTCTACCAGTTTTGGAGATAGAAGAGAATGAAAATTTGCAAAGTTCAGTTCATGGTGAAAAGTAGGTCAAAGGTCAATTTTAAGGTCACAGTTAAACTGCCTCTTATGACTTTCTATTCAAATTCAATAGTTACTATGGACGTATCTTTGCCAGTTTTGAAAGTATAAGCATTAAAAAAGTTGCAAAGTTCAGTTTATGGCGAAAAGTAGGTCAAAGGTCAATTTTACGGTCACAGTAAGATTGCCAGTATATGACTTCCTATTCAACTTAAATAGTGACTATGGACCTATCTCTGCCAGTTTTGGAGATATAAGAGACCAAATGTTACAAATTTGGAGTTACAACAATGTGCCATAAATTTCCTAAAAAAAAATTATTGAAATAAAGAGTAAGTCATTTTGGTTGAAATTCTTGAAATGAGAGGTGCTTAGAAGTTCAGATGTTCAAATTTCATGTAATAATGTCATTTCTGACCAGCCCCGCCAAGCCTTTTGATTTATTTTCCAGAGGTTCAACATTTATTACACAATACCGTTTTGCACATTTTGCTTTCACCACCACAATGTACTTTTTGATACAGCATAACTCATAAACTGTATGGAAATTTAAAAAAACCTAGACCATGTTCAGTGTTGGGCTTGACATGCTCTACAAAATGCAAAAAAGAATAGGTCTCTAGCATTAACGGTTCCTGAGTTAGAAACAGTTTTCAGTTTTGGTATCTTATGGCTTTTGCTCCCCTGAAAATGCACCGATTGACCCCAAACTCAGGGAGATGAAAGATGACCCGAATGGTAACACCTGCCAATAATATCATAGGTTAGGTCTGTGTAGTTTCTGAATTTCAGCGCAAATAATTTTTTTTGTAAAAAAATTCGTTTTTTTTTATTTTGGGCCGTGTGACCTTGAAATAAAGGTCAAAGGTTAAATCCAAGGGCACATTTGGAATCTCTACATATGACTTTCGGTCAAGCTTCTGTAGTAATTTTTCCCATAATTCCTTCAGTATGGGAGATATTCAGCATTGAATTTTCAAAAATTTTGACAGGGGTGCATTTCAGCGAGCGTTATGACCAGGCCAATGAGGTTATATGTGACCTTAATCGAAAAGAGATGGGGACAGGGGTCCTTGCAGTCTAGGAGGAGAAGCGGTAACGGTGACTTGTATCCGGCGCCAGAACGCGGAGCCGGACGAGACGGGTCGGGTCGGGACTAACTATGACCAGCCCCGCCAAGCCTTATGTTTTATTTTCCAGAGGTTCAAAATTTATTACACAATACCGTTTTGCACATTTTGCTTTCACCACCACAATGTACTTTTTAATACAGCATAACACGAAAATCGTATGGAATACAAAAAACAAAAAAACAAAAAAAAAAAAAACGTAGACCACCTTCAGTGTTGGGCTTTACATGCTCTACAAAATGCAAAAAAGAATGGGTCTCTAGCATTAACGTTTCCAGAATTAGAGACAGTTTTCAGTTTCAGTATCTTATGGCCGCTACTCCCGTGAAAATGCACCGATTGATCCCAAATTCACGGAGATGAAAGATGACCTGAATGGGTAACACTTTTCAATAATATTATTGGTTAAGTCTGTGTAGTGTCTGAATAACAGCGCAAATAATTTTTTTTCGTAAATTTTGGCCCAGCGCAAATAATTTTATTTCGTAAATTTTGGCCCGTTTTACCTTGAAATAAAGGTTAAAGGTCAAATCCAAGAGCATATTTGAAATCTCCACATATGACCGTCTGTAGAAATTTTTCCATAATTCCTTCTGTAGGGTAGCTAATTAGCATTTAATTTTGCCATATTTGGACAAGGGTGCATTGCAATGAGTGTCACACCTACACCCCCACACCGACAAAGCCCAAATTTTATGTGGAACGAGTTGAGATTATAGGTGACCTAAATCCAAGAGATGGGTACGGAGGCCCTTACCGTCGAGGAGGAGCGGTAACGGTAACATGGCGGCGGAGCCGGCGGAACGATCCGGACGGGACTAAAACCATGTGTACCGCCAGCGCCAACGCTGGTGGTACAAATACACAAGCTGGAGGGGCGGCCAGCGTAGGAAGGGATTTAAAAAATCCAAGTCATCCAAATAACACCACGGACAGACGTACAACAGTAATAGAGACAGAAGACAATATACAAGAACTCGGGGATTGAAAGAGGCTCTTGCATCTCGATGCACGAGACCTCGTAACTTTCCCGCAACGGCTCCGCCGATGCAAATTTATACTACAGGATGGAAGGCATAAGTCTGGCAATACAGCATATTCTATCTCAACGCGCTCACTATGTATAATCATACAAGTATCAGTGGAAAACGATCTCCAAGGGAATGGAAAGGACCTAGAAAAATGGAATAAAAAAACTGGCATAGCACTGCACCACCCAGGGCGAGAATCCCCAAGACACCAGCAGCCGGCCCTCCAGGAAACAACGGGAATCCCTGCCACAACGAAGTCATCAGAGCAAAAACTTACCTGAAAGGCTGCTCTGCCTGGGCAGACCACATGCTCAAACAACTCGGCAACAACGCCCACCATGTGAGATGCCGTTTAGACTTCAGGGGATGCCCTGATGACGACATCCTTCTGGCAGCAATAATCACCATGCAGGACAAGGCTGCAACGGAGCTTAAATCCTTAAATCGTAGACAAAGCTAAGGAAAGCTTAGCAAAGGCAGAAGAAAGAGAATCCAGAGCGGAAGAGCACTTCAACACCCACGGCGTATACTACTAATACACGCCAGAAAACCAACCCTCAGCATCAACGACAGTCAACAACCAGATCATGGAGCAAATGAGACTCCTCATCCTCGCCATGAAAGTCAAGAAGAAGAGCCGCATGCTAGTCAGCAAAGTGAAACGAAGACTAACCTCGGTCAAGAAAGCTACACTGTAAAATACAAGCCACTGCTTCTCCGTCCTCAAAAAAAACGTCCCTTTTCAGGGCCAACCAACTCTACCAGGAAATGCTTAACCTTCAAATAGAACGCAATAAATCACACCGCAAATATAAGGCGAGATGCCTTCCCCACACTAATTTATAATCCATAAAGGAAAAAAGTCATTCTGGAAATAAAGAAAGATGCCCCAATTCCACATAGACCAAATTTTAAACGCATAGGGGGCATAGTCAGTTTTTAAGACACACACACATCGCAAATACATTGTACAAGGCGAGATGCCTTCTCCACTTTATTTATAAGCAATAAGGAAAAAACCTTCCAAAAATAAAAAAAGGTGTCCGAAACCTATATAGACCAACTAAGCAAATGAAAGCTCAGTGTTAAGACGCATATATGCACAGCATTACAATACTGATAACCTTGCCAGAAATGTAACCAAACAAACTACATCTAAACAGATAGGATCAATATGCACCACGAGAACAGCCAATCAAAACTCATAACTAAACAACCAATCAGATCTCGGCCTCTTTCTCGCATATGACACAGTTTCGACATATCCTCAGTAGACCTCCGACTCTTGAGCCATTCACACGCTTAGTTCATACCGTCCAGCTCGTATCCCTTTTGTTGTGGAGGAGCAGCATCTTGGACTGAACGGTGTTTCTGGATACCCATCCTACTTGACACAAGCGAGACACTTGTGATCAAGCATGATACTATAAAGCCGAGATGGCTCGTATCATTCACAATGGCGCGACACCATTGATGAAAACTCACTAAACAAAGGCGAGACACCTTTGCTTACCAACCCCCTACGTCCCTGAATTTTTTCTTTTTTCATCTCGGACTCTGCAGCTGATGAAGGTCACTTGTTGACCGAAAAGCGCTTTCTGCAACCAGTCCACCCTCCCCCTTCCCTCGACAGGCGAGGCGCCTTTATCGTGCCAATCACGAAATGCCCTTTTTTGGGCACCCTATGTAGATCGGTATCTATAAATCTCATACTATGTAGGTGAGGCACCTACCTTCCTATCAGAGACGGTCTTTCCTCAAAATAAAGGCGAGGAGCCTAATACACTCTAAAACTCGCTCTCAACTCTGCAAGGGGCGCTGTCAAAATACACGTCCTCAGAAGCCCAGCTCTGAATCGTGTTATTTTGGTAAAGTGGAATCTAACTAGGGCATGAGTCGACCACCCCCAACTCTCTTAGAGTAATGACACATATTGGTTAGAAGGTATAGAAACTAGAGTAGTATGTAACACTAAGTTTATTATAGACGGGGATAGGGATGGGTGGGAAAATTGCTTAAACAGGCAGTAACTTACCCTTGACTTGTGCTGATCAGTCTAACACTGTCTGGGATCTGCGTTCGCGTAGTGTTCGTTCGTGCACGTGCGTGTAGCTCGGCTGCAATCTGACGAATGTCTTCTGAGAGCGTTGGTAGTGTCGATATCCTCTCTGAAAATTCTGCTCAAGTGGTTCAGACTCGTGGCGCGATTGGATAATTGTGTCGGTAGGTTAAATGTACAGGGGGTATGTTATTAACAGAGGCTGCTGTAGGAAGAGACTCGGATTTAATCTTATCTTGTTAAAGCAGCTTTGGGCAAGCTATAAAGGGTACCGGAGAAGATCAGCATTGGTCACAATTGTGCCGGAAGTGACGTGTAGTGGTGTAAGACGTAAAGCTGAGTGGTCATTTTTAGCTGGAGGTGAATTGGAATGAAGACGTGGGCTAGGAGAAAAAAGCAGTTATTCTAACAACACATTTTATCTTTTTTGCATTTGGGGCAGAGAATACTTGTAGAAACAATAGGCACATGATATGAAAACGTGTCACGGAACTTGAAGGTGCAAAACCATGGTCAATTTGCAGACAATTTGTTTTGAAATACATGCTGCATCGACCGCCAGCGCGACAAAGAGCGTAAAGGAAAAAGAATTCCCGGGAGGCTATAAATCGTTGTCATGTGGAATTTTGGTGTTTATATAATCTGATGTGTCCATATCTAAGTATTTTTACGGTGTTATTGGATGGGCTGTAATTATAACGATGTTTTAGGGTCTTTGAAGGACCTTGTGAAAACCAGGAAGTAGTTCGTAACTGACAACTGAGTCGTAGCGATCCACAACTACTGTCCAAAGATGTATCTATTTTTAAATATTTTGACGAATTTTTTTTTTCTTTATATGTCCATCTGACATGAAATTCCACACATATGATCACATTATTACGCCTTTTACACCGGGGTAGCCACTAATCAGTGACAAATGCTAAGACAAAGGTGACATTTTGACAGCCTCTTATCTGAGCTAAAAATCACTAGCAAAAGAGACTGGCAATCAATTTCCTCAGGCTGTAAGTCAATAGCCTTGAGAAACTAGTCATGTTATACATGTATCTTATCTACCTGTCAGAATCGCTTTTCCAACTGAGTATTGCAGAATAAGGTCAATTATTAGTAACTTAGAGCTAGTCTTAATTACCTGTTCTCTTTTCATCTTTTTGGGAAGATCTTGTAAGATGCCATTAAATGCCCGTCGCGTACTTGTGATTAGTGCCTACCCTGGTGTAAAAGGTGTATTAGTCAGGGGCGGATTTAGGCCGTCTTCTGGGTCTTCCGGAAGACGGTCAGATTTTCAAATTTAATTTGACGGGTATTTAATTTTTTCTGTCCGACCCTGTATTAGTGTGATCATATGTGTGGAATTTCATGTCAGATGGACATATAAAGATCTAACAATTCGTCACATTATTAAAAAAAGATAAATCTTTGCACAGCAGTCGTAGATCGGAAAGATTTAGTTGTTAGTTACGAACTACTTCCTGGCTTTCACAAGGTCCTTCAAGAACTCTAAAACATCATTATAATTGCAGCACATACCATAAACACCCAAAAATACTTAGATATGGACATATCAGATTATATAAATTTCAAAATTCTAAATGACAACGATTTATAGCCTCCCGGGAATTCCTTTCCCTTTACGCTCTTTGTCGCGCTGGCGGTCGATGCAGCATGTATTTGCAGACAATTTGTTTTGAAAACCATGGTTGATTTGCACCTTCAAGTTCCATGTCACGTTTTCATATCATGTGCCTATCATTTCTACAAGTATTCTCTGCCCAAAATGTGTAAAGAAGAAATGTCATCTTACCATGTTGTTTGAAAAACTGCTTTTTTCTCTGAGTTCATGTCTTCTCTCCCGTTCACCTCCAGTTAAAAATGACCACTCAGTTTTACGTCTTACACCACTACACGTCACTTCCGGCACAATTCTGACCAATGCTGATCTTCTCCGGTACCCTTTATAGACTAATCTTTATAAACGAGAGGAGTCAAGGAAGGACGTTTGGGCAGACACATGCACAGTCGCCAATAGTGTTGCAGTCCTTACGATTGGACTGCTTAGATTGCACTGGGAGTATCGGGGTTAATAAGAACAATAGCATTTGTGTTATGGAAGTGGTGGGGTCGGCTTGTTAAAGGATAATCAGACTCGGATATCGATTTGATGATCACAATCACTAAGATATCTTAGAGAGTATGAACGAGAGGAGTCAAGGAAGGACGTTTGGGCAGACACGCAGTCGCCAATAGTGTTGCAGTCCTTACGACATCAAACGTATCGGAGCGACATCAAAGTATCGAAGTCTAATGAAACTTTAACGAGCTCTCCCCACCATCGTCTAGCTCCTTGCTGGGTGAGACAGAGAAGGTGGAGAGGAAGCTGATAGAGTCTGTAGATCGACGAACGACTGTAAGGCCGACGCTCAGGCCGCCTCTAACCTGCATAATAAACGATCAGAATAACCATTTCGGTTTTGTTTTGAGTCCGTCTCCGGCAAAGGCGCACGACACCAAAGCCTTACGAACCTCACAAGCAATACAAACACAACAGCCTGAGGTTTATATCGTGGTCCCCAGCCCATTACTTGGAATTAAAAGTCCCTTTTACACATAAAATAATTCTAGCCAAAATGAGGGTCAGTGACCACGAGTTAGAAATTGAAAGAGGCAGATATACCCACCCCAAAACAAAAATTGAGGACAGAAAGTGTCCTCACTGTAATGCAGTGGAAGATGAAGTTCACTTTTTTCTTGAGTGTACTACTTGTAAACTAGATAGAGAAACATTATTTGCTGCCTTACCACAGGTAAATGTGCAGGGTCTAGCAGACGATACACAATCCGCCCTATTGAATGTGTCAAATGAGAGAGGTGTGTCCGCACTTATAAAGTTTATAAACAGTGCTATGAGAAAACGGAAGCTATCCAAAATGAGTTGACACCTGGTATTATACTTTAACTTTATTATTACTATGTACATGTATTTAAACTTAAGTATATAATAATTAGTAGTGTAGTGATCGAGCCTTTAAATGTACACTCATTTCATGTGCTCAATAAATTGTTATTATTATTACAGCCGTCGCTGTATATGGCCTTCTGTTAACAGTGGTTTCCGTACTGGTCTTCGTGCAAATTAACCAGCTTACAGTAATCTCTTACACCCCATTTCCATAGATTAGATCGACCTTTTTTAGATCGACCTAACTCCCTGGGGGTTCACGCTAAATAGCTGTCAGCCGGGCGGACACGAAATTAATTACCCCCTTACAGCTTGTAGT